CCCCAAAACCCCAAAACCCCAAAACCCCAAATATTAATATTTGGAATAAATATCAATGGTTAAAATAGAATTGAAATAAAAATAACTTTAATTTCAAAACTTAGTTTTATATTCAGTCGAGAGCAAATTTTTCCCATTTTAATCCACAACTCAAGTAAACTTTTAATATTTTATTTATTCATTCAGCGAATTCAATCCTTGAAATAGTATTTATTAAGGGAACTAATATCATCTTTATGATCTCTATTGTATCTATCTCTATGGGTATACGTTCCCTATTTCTTATTTTCATATAGATTTCTAATACTTTTGCTAACATCACCTGATCCATTTATCAACTGGGTAAGTCCAGTTTTGTTCAAAAGCGGAAACGATCCTTATTTATGCTTTATATAATCATCTGCATTTTATGCTAAAAAGGTTTGATATTAATTGCTTGTTAAATTCTTAGCACTATCTAATCCCATATTATGCTCTAGTTATAATGTTGACTTCTTATTATCATCGATTGCGTAATCCTTCAACACTTCATTAATCTTGTCAAAGCTTTTTCTTAGCTTTAGCAGATTTTTCTTGATATACTTCTATTCGAATCTTTACTTAGGTGAGTCCCTGATATAAGATTTAGTAGATTGTGATTATATTCTTGAATTATCATTATCTATGGTTCTAGTAACTATTGAGCCTAACTAATAATCTTGAGATTTCATCAATAGACTCATATTTCTTCTCATAATAGACTGAGATACATTGCTTAAATGTTAATTTTAATTTGTGTCATCATCCCCCTCTTTAATCTTAGTAATTCCAATTACACTAGATATCTGTCTAAAGCTCTTTTTGAGTTCTATAGTACTATTCGGACCTAAGAATGGAGCATTTAATATATTTCGAGCTGTTTAAGGTATTTTAGGAAGTTTTTACTCTAACTTTACAATTTACTTATTTATTACTGAACAGGGTTTTACTCCCATTTTCTAAATCGAAAATTCATGCTAAAGCTCAAAGTTATCCATTTGCTCTGCCATATTAATGCACTTAAGATAAATTTTACCTTCTTAGTCTAAAAGATATATAGCCCTTACATGTAGAACTCTAAAACAAGAATAACTTCATAAATTCTGATATTGCTTACTTTGTATTGTTAGCTGCTTCTAATAGTAGAAAAACCTTTTTGGTATAATCTATCAGTTTATTTTCGAGTTGCAAATCACAAATCTATATGGATCTAGATTTATCAATTATTGAAGATCTATAGTTATCATGCATGTATTGAATTGAATGAATAATGCCCTCTGGGTACAGTTAATTTACAAGGATATACTGTTAAATAGCCTAAAACTCAAAGGGTTATTTTCCTTTAATCATCAATAGCTTTCTCATAATCTTATCAAAAGAATACTTGGAAATGACTTCCTCATTACTGTCACCTTATAATTTGTCAAAAATGGGTTCAATTTTTTATCTTATTGCAATTGCGAAACTAAAGTTATTGTCATTAATGACTGGCATAGTCCTATCAGAGTGAGTGTTATGAATCATGCCTAAATCATATATGATTTTTGATTACTTTTATTCATAAGCTATATTTTACCCCTGAATATTGAACTTGTCATTTAAATACATGAAGTATTTGATAATGTTATAGTAATTGAAATTCTTAGTCATATCAGCGATATACACTTCTTATTTCTGATTCTTTTCAGTTAAAAAGAAATTCTACTTATGCTGTTGATTTGCGAACCAAGTGAACTAGGTCCTCATTTTGCGTTTATCAAATTTGATAAAAACTGTGGAGAGAATCGATATATTAGATTACTCTGATTGTGTCAATGATAATAGCTTAAGAATATATTCATAGAGTTAAGGATTTTCCATTGCTTATTTTATCAATTTTAAAGTCACTTACTTTATATTCTAGTTGATTAAAATTGTTAATTCTTATAAAAATATTCAGCACTAATCTCAAAATTCCTACTTTAAGGGGTTTTGGGGTTTTGGGG